TATAAGAGACAGCCACCCGGGCGGGGGGCGGAGCACCGCCCCTTCCCGGGGGGGGGCGGAGCGGGGTGGGACATCGCGCCGCCATGTTGTGGGTCTTTGTGTCAGGGCTGCCGTGCCCCTGCAGAGGGGCTGTATTTTATAAATGTGGGGTCTTTTTAAAACAAATACTGCGTCTTTATGTGCCAGTGTAGCTCCCCTCATGCTATGGCCTGCTTGAGCCTTTACGTCTTGCCAGTTCGTGTCTCAGAGGCTTGCCCTGCCACTCTGGTACCTTCCCCCAGCGGCCTCCCTTATAATTGACTCTTAATTGAGCTTTTATTTTATGTCTTCGCGGAAGGATTGTCAGTGTGCTAAGTTATTTGTGTTATTATCGATGCATCCTAACTCCAGTCTTCACCACCATAGCAATTAACCTGGGTACAGCTGGCAGCATTGCCCGACTCCAGAGTGAGCTTGAGCACTGCAAGCAACAGATTCAGCTTTACCTGTCAGCCCAGGGAGGGTAAAGCTGGGGCTCCTCCTGGCAGGTACCTGTCTCCCCAGTTGCCCCAGCTGCTATCAGGGCCAGGGAGGTTTGGAGTAGCTCTGTGGTTCTTCTGTATGTTGATTCAAAGTCTCTGCGTGAGCCCTGAGCAGCAGCTGCTGCGTGGACACTTTTGTCTTCACTGGCTTGTTCAAAAAAGCAGAAAGCCATAGAGCCAAAGACAAAGATTAGGCAAGATTAATCATTGTGACAAGAGTTAAAAGGAGAGTATTACAACAAAGCTTAGCATCGTGTACAGAGCCGGCAGCCGGTTGAAATTCAGGCGTAGCAAGTTTGGGTTGGATTTACAGCGAGATTTGAAGCGGTTTCTGCCTTGTCATGACCTCATCAGCGCCTCACAGCCAGGGCCTCCCACACAGGCAGCCTCCTCTTGCAGTTCATGTTTTGTAGAGGTCTAAGAGCAAGCAGAGCCCCTGCAAAGCCACGTTGTTCTCCGCAAGATGTCTCGTGCTGAGTAGCAGCTGGTGTGCCAGGCACTCGAATGCCTGTTGTTCCGGGTGACTTGGAATGCTGCTGGCTGTAATCCTGGTAAGTCCAGCCCTGTGAGAAATGAAAATTACATTAAAACTTCCTTGACAGGCAAAGGGATGGGGGCAAAGTGAGCATGAAGAGTGGCAGTAAAGGTGTGGCAGCGGGTGGAGGTGGGGGATAAGAGTGGATGGATGTACAAGAGGAGAGGCCGGAGAAGCAGAGGAGGTGAGATAATGGGTGCAGAGCGCTTAGCTGTGGCCTGAGATATTGCTGCGCTGAGGCAGTACATACAGACCACAGCAACATGCCAAAAATTCATATAACTGCGTTTTTCCCAGGTTGCGTGGCTGGAAGCAAGAGATAATAGCAAATCCCTCTTGAACTCCCGCATTAGCTCTTCCTTGCACGGAACAGGAAAGTTCCTGATGAGCATGAGACAGAAGCAGCTCTCATCCCACCACCCTCCGCTTTTCCACCCGTGCTTCCGCATTCTCACAGACATGAGCAGGGTTGAGGATTATGTTAGGATGGGGAAAAGCTCCGCGCTGCTGGATGAGACGTGCTCGAGGCGCTGAGGGGAGAGGAATGTGAAGGAGACTGCAGATGGCTGGGCAAGGTCACCCAGCTGTTACAGAAGTGCTGCAGTCCAGGCCTGCGTCTCAGGAAAGGCACCTCTCGTCCCTGCCAGAGACATGCACCACGTGAGGCCTACTGACTGTTGTATAATAAATACGAGTCATGTGAATCCTAATAGGTACCCTATGGTTTAATCAAGGACAATTTGTTCATGGCATGGCTGATAACCAGGTCAAAACCCAGTGTTATTGCAAGAAAGGGGACTTGACTTTTCAAAGGCAGATCGATATTTCAAGGCTCATTTGAGAAGCAGTTTCCACATACATGGAAGGGCTGGAGCACATTTAGTTAACAATTTATATTAAACTGTAAGGAGTGAGGAGAGGATAAACTAAGCGGTGTTCAGATTTGCTCTTTTCAACGAAAGAAGAAACAGAAAAATATCCAGTTACATGATAAAGTGTTACCCAGCAATCAAAACTGTGATACATGGGTATTTTCTGGTTAATGCTGAAGGATGTGCCCGTTATCTGTTTACTGTCATCCTTAATTTGTATAAAAGATGGTTTCAGGTGGTCGTTACGATACATCACACAGTTACTTCATTAGGCAAAAGACTGAAAGGCCAATATCCAATATACACCATAAGCAAAAATGGCTTAAAAGGGGTAAGTGTTCAAATTATGCTAAATACCAGATTTCAAGTGTGCGCACCAACTGAGCTTTTCTGGATCAAGAGCACTTGTGGCTTAGGACAAAACTGGCAGAAAGGAACAAAACATTTTGGTAAGGAACGTTCAGCTACAGAACCAGCTTCTGAAGCAGCTTAGGTCAGTTTGAAACGGTAATCCAGAAAGTGTTTTGGAGTGAAATGGAAACTTTGCCGAGTCTGCTATCGGTGCAGGACCCCGTTATCGCAGCTGATATTGTTTGCAGCTCCTCAGGCTCCAAAGGGGAGGGTGGCAGTGTAAGACTAGAGAGCAAATTAATGCACAGTCAGTGAAAGGTCAAAAAAACCCCTCCTCGTGCAAAGTTGATCCCAATGCTTTGTCAAATTTCACCTTTTGTTCATTATCTGGCCAAGTTTATTTGTGGTTTTGGTTGAATGTTCCTTCTGAGCCCAAGAGTCAAATTAAATTTGGAGCGTTTCCCAATAGAAGGAAAACAATCAATAGCGCTGTTCTTTTTCTCTTTTAATGGGATATTGTTTGTTTTCAAAACAGTGTTGTCTGTGTTCCTCATCAGGGAAGGATTCAGATGGCAGAAGAGCCTTTCTCAGAATCCCACTCGTCTTTTCATTGGGAGTTTATTAGAAAACACCATTTCTCACAGCTCTTCTCAGCACCGTGTCACAGACGTACCCCTGACCGTCTGTTGGCTCGCTGCCTCTCACAGAAGCCACAATCAAACCAGTTCCCTTTCTGTGCTTGCTCTGGTACAACTAGGAAACACTGTGGTCCATGTGATCCAGCCTCTATCTAGGCAGCCCAGACATAGAGTAACGTTCAGTGATTTAGCAACCACAGACCAAGGCCACCAAAAGTGTTTGTGACCACCCAGAAGCAGGTCGGAAGGGGTCCTGCCCCAGGGAAAGTTCACCCACCCCCAGCTCAGCAAGGATCAGCCTACATCCCTGGGAGCTTCCTCAATAACTTAATCAAATAATCTTACATCAAATCGTAAGGGTTTGACAGCTCAGGAGCCTCAGACCTTTCTCCTCTGCCTTTGTGCCTTTCATCTGACAGTTCTGATAAAGCAACTGTGTGATGTACAATAATACCATTATGGGAGGGACAGGAAACACCAGGAACAGGGACTGGAAAAAAAGTTTGCTTCCTTAATCTGCAGGTAGGAAGATAAGGTGTATCTCAATAAGGTGATCTTTTTTTTCAGGCTGAGCTTTTCAACCCTGCACAGATAAGGTTGGATAAGGCTGTTCCTGAGCTGAGTCAGCAAAGTCCTTTGCCAAAACAGCCTGAAAATTCATACATGGTCCTGTTTGGCCTGGGGGTGGGGTAAACCCTATGACAGTTAAATGCATCCTAGGTGGTGTAGCCTCATCTCGTGCAATTCCCATCCAGGTTTCCAGGCTCCTGGCCACCCAGATTGATCATATAATTTGTAACAGTCTCCCAGCCTTGCGACTGTTGCTTTCTTGACAGGGATCTGCACACACGGATTTATATATTTGCCACTCAGGTCCCATCTTAGAGCCAAGGCAGCTCCTGGAGGTACCCAGCTCCCATTGTCCGTGATCTAGGATGGCTGAGGGTGTCGTACGAGTTCCCTGCTGTGCATCTCCTGTAGCCTTCAGAGGGACTGTCCCTTCACACACAAATTGTTGCTGATCACTGGAAGCAGCAATGCTTAAAACACTCCTGTCACCAGTCCAGCACTGCCTCAGCCCTTTCTCTGCATCAGGGGGTCAAGGTCACCATCCAACTCTTCCACCTTTACAGTCAACCACAACCACTTCAACCACCAGCCATCCTCCACCCACCAACCAGCCCACCTGTGGCCACCAGGTGCTTTATTTTAGTGGTCCTTATGAGTCACTGAATGCTGCTGTGTAGCCCAAGCTCATCATAGGACCAGGTGGAGCCTGCACACACCAGGAGTCAAATCCAGCCTTGCTTGGACATCAAAACAGACGTTAAAATCTTATATTTTTCTGGACACAAGCGTAACTCTTCAGGGATTTTATTGAACAGGAATCCTAATGCAGCCACAGCTGCATCAGGGAACAGACAAACCAGAACTAAAAGCCTCCAAATCCACCCCTCCAGCTGGTTTTCAGCTGCTTTTGGAGAACCCGGCAAGGATCTCCTCATCGTTTGGTGCCCTCTGCCGCCAAGCAGAGCTACAACAGAGAGGCCACCCTCTGCCACCCAGCCCGGGCACCCCACAGGCACTGCCTGCTCCCTGCCCTCACCCGCCTTCTCTGCCGCGGCGGGGTTGCAGCAGGGTTGTGTTTTGAGCTCTTTGCTGCTTGGTTTTGAGTTCCCTCAGGGGGCAAAAAGCAGATTCTTCCAGAATCTGGCGTGTCTTATTCCCTCCATTTCTTTACCAAAGTTGGAAATGTCCAGGTCAGCAACCAGCCCTGGCTCCTTTTTGTGCTACAGCTGCTTCCATGGCATGCCGAGCTGGGTGCCCCATCTTTGACAATGCGAAGAGCTGCCAGGCTGTTTGTGCTGCTGATTTCCCCCCTCCCACCCCAGAGCACGAGGCTGGAAGGGCATTAAATGACAGATCACATCTGCCTCCAAACTCTGAGGGTCTGAGGTTCCCCAGAGGCCTCCAAAAGCCGTAATAATAAAAGGGAACCTGGCTGGAAAGGGCTCGGGAAGGAGCTGCAGCCATGGAGTCACGCTGTCACCAGCACAGAGAGGCTCAGAACAGTAGGAAGGGGCTAAATTCTGTCTGTCCCACCTCGGTCATTTCTCACCCTAAAAGTAATAATTTTCCATACTCCCCTGTTTCTTTTGTTCTTGACTTTAATGGCACTAAATATCTGTTCTGAGATTTTTCTGGCGCTGAATTCCACAACTTCATTCTGTGTATAATGACACATCCAAAAATCAATGCCTATCCCAATACAGTTTTTCCTTGGCTCCTGGTGATGGGATCATCCCCAAACTTCCTATAATTTGACAAATTTCTTTGCATTGAAAAAATGAAATCCTGAGCCTCAGTGATTACAACTTCACACATGGAGCTCTGCTTCAGCAACGACTAAATGCAGTAAAAGATTGGAAAATTAATTTGAGTCTTCACTACATGATACAATCCCCAAAATTTGGGCTATAGTTTGGTGTTCAGAAGAGACCAGCTCACCCAGAGGCCCTTATATCAGCCTAGAAACACAGGACGTACCTTTTTATGCAAAAGAAGCTGCTGCAACTCTTCCAGTCTCTTTGCTGCTCTGGGCAAGGGAGCTTTAGTTGTGTGCAAACCTATCACTGCCAGGGCAACTGAATTACAGAATAAAACAAATTATATTTCCCTAACAGTACAAACTAAGTTACATTTCACTAGACAGTGGTCCCGAGCATGAGGCTTTTCTGTTTGTTTTGGGTTTTTGTTGTTGTTGTTTTTTAATAAAAGGAGAGCATTCAACCCAAACATCCTCTTTGCCCAGAACAAGGACTGCCATGAGAGTACAGGTTAGTCCCTGCTTTCTGTGCCTGGAGAGGTTTATGTTATGTCTGACTGGCCAAAAAAAAAAAAAAGAAGATAAACAGCTCTTGAAAAACTTGTCATTTTCTCTAACTTTCTGGAAAAAGAACCCTAACACTTAGCCCCAAAACAAGGGAGGCCAGGTTGAAGTGAGGCATGACAGCAAGTCCAGACTTCAGGTGCTGAAACCCAACTCACTGACTTGCTCTGAAAGAATTTAGCACTTGGAATGTTACTGCCCTTCAGCTTTCCATTCCTCAGAGAAAATTCTCCACTCGTTACCAGAATCAATGCAGGGTGAGCATCTGTGCAAACGGACACCTTGGAGGCAGCTCCCCCCACATTCCCTTGCCCTGCACAGGTACATTCTGCTGAATGAATGTCCCACCTTTTCCTGCAAACAGAGGGAAATCCACCCCAACATTGCCAGGACCTTTGTCCCTGCCCAAGGAGAAGGGGCACTTACCTCCCATTCCCCACTGTGGGGCTGAGCCAAGGACCATTTCCACCTTCCAGCAGGACCTTCCTCTCCATCACAAGCTCTCACTGACACATGCTCCTGGCTACCAGCTTTGTGGCTCTCCAGCCACCACCTCCCACAGCCCACACCAGCTCTCATGGGCCTCCTATGGCATTATCTTCCCTGGCATGGAGCACACACCAAGCCCAGCAGCTCCTGAGCAGCCTCCCAGGAGGAAGCCCCAGGTCTCAATCCTTGAAGGGCAAATTGATGGGAAAGTGGAAGCATCAACAATTCTCCAAACCACCCCCCAAAAGCACTGCCATTGAGGGGCTGGGCTCTGCAGGGGTACAGCCTCTGCCTTCCACCAGCACCAAGGGGCGAGGAAGCTTGCAAAGGACTCCCAGCACAGGGCAATCAAGTGAGAGCCAGGCAAACCAGCAAACCCCTGCTCTGAATCTGCTTTATATACCAACAAGATTTACAGCAGCTGTTCCTAATACCTGCAGCAGTGTGGGCAAATCACTGTGAGCTCCCTGTGTGCTGTGGAGGAAGAGGCTTTGCCAAGTGGGAACAGCTTCTTCCCTGCCTGCAGACACGCGGTGTGCTGGGGGAAAGAAACACAATCTAACAGCCTGACAGAGCAGTCCCGAGGCTACGAGAGCTTCCCTGCTGAGGGACGCGTCCTCATGGAATCCCAGAATCATCTGGGTTGGAAAAGCCCTTGAAGCTCCTCCAGTCCAACCATGAACCTCACCCTGACCGTTCCCAACTCCACCAGATCCCTCAGCGCTGGGTCAACCCAACTCTTCAACCCCTCCAGGGATGGGGACTCCCCCCCTGCCCTGGGCAGCCCATTCCAACGCCCAACAGCCCCTTCTGCAAAGAAATCCTTCCTCAGAGCCAGCCTGACCCTGCCCTGGGCAGCTTGAGGCCATTCCCTCTGGGCCTGTCGCTTGTTCCTTGGTTCAAGAGACTCATCCCCCCTCTCTGCACCCTCCTGTCAGGGATTTGCAGAGGACCATGATGTCTCCCCTCAGCCTCCTCTTCTCCAGACTAACCCCCCCCAGTTCCCTCAGCTGCTCCCTATAAGACACGTCCTCAAGCACTCTGCTCTGATGACCTTTTACAGATATGTAGAAAATGTGTAGTGCAGCAAGGATGTGTTTGCAGCGAACCAGCCCCTCTGCTAGAGATGCTCCTGATCTGAGCTCATATTCATCAAACCATGCTGCTGCCTTGTGTGGAAAGAGGGAGCAAAGCCTGAAGTTGATGCTGTTGTCTGATCTCTGATTTTTTCTTTATTTTATGGCTACCTGAAGACACAGGCTGGCTCATGAGGCTGGTGGGGAATGCAATGCCAAGGCTCCATGCAGGGTTTTCAGGCAGTGGCCTCCTACCAGGTCCAGACTTTCCATTTTGGTGGTCAGCCAAGATCTTTTCTTTTCTAGACTCCTACCCCCAAACTGAACCCATCACATCTTCCCTTTTGCTCAGGGAGAATTATGTGTTTCATCCCTTTTCTCCCTGCCAGGTTCATATATTAATTTCATTCCTCTGCTGTGATTTAACATCCACCCTCTATTCTTTTATTATTCAGAGCTGGGGTGAAACTGGTACCAAGGGAGGACAATCAGCTCCTACCCATATAGTGCCTCTGGGCAGGCTGGTCCCCAACTCGTCACTGCAGGGACTGGCTTTGTTTTCCTCCAGGACAAGGTGACCGTGCCGGCAGCCACATCTCATGCACGTGGGGCTGTGACGGAGATCGGGCACCTCTGACGCAGCCCAGTGCCGGCGACCTTGGCATTGTTCAATCAGCACCATCCCAAGCTGGTCTTTCCCTCGACTGGTCCCAGTTTCACCCCTCATTGGGTCCCAGTTCCACAGGCAGCCCATGGACCTGCTGGAGTGGGGCCAGAGGAGAACACGAGGATGCTCGAGGGGCTGGAGCCCCTCCCCTGTGAGGACAGGCTGAGAGAGTTGGGGGGGGTTCAGCTGGAGAAGGCCCCAGGGAGACCTTAGAGCAGCCTCCCAGGACTGAAAGGGGCTACAGGAAAGGGGGAAAGGGACTCTTGATCAGGGGGAGTGTAGGGATAGGATGAGGGAGAATCGTTTTAAACTGACAGAGGGGAGATTTAGATGAGATCTAAGAAAGAAATTCTTCCCTGTGAGGGGGTGAGGCCCTGGCACAGGCTGCCCAGAGAAGCTGTGGCTGCCCCCTCCCTGGAAGGGTTCAAGGCCAGGTTGGACGGGGCTTTGGGCAACCTGGGCTAGTGGAAAGTGGCCCTGCCCAGGGCAGAGGGGTGGCACTGGATGGGCTTTAAGGTCCCTTCCAGCCCAAACCAGTCTGTGATTTGTGATATGAAGCCAGACCCAGCAGCGCAGTTCCTCTGCTGACCCCAGTGTGGGGGCAGGGGGTGCAGGCAGCAGCTCGAGGAGGCCATGGGCTTCCACCCTCCCCACCAGAGCCCCGGGGCAGGCGTTCAGAGACGCGGGGTGTTGAGCTACCACCTGCAATGGACTAGGCTGGTGAGGAACGGCCGTGTTTACCTGTTGGATGTTGGTGCAAGATAAAGCAAATTTACAGAAACTGTGCTCTTCAGAGCAGGGCAGTGATGGTCTGGAGCAGCCCCAGGACCCTCTGGACCGCAGCACTGGGGAAATGTCACTCCTGTGGTGGCCACCCCAGGCCAGCTAGAGCCAACTGGAAAAGAAATGCCTTTATCTAACGGCCCATGATTTATGCTGTGATTCCTCAGCCACAGTGGGAGAAAATGCCCAGAAATGGGCCCTCACCAGTCCCCCAGTGCCTTCCGCTCCAGACTCAGAACTGGAAGGTGCTTCTCTCCCAGCCCCAGCCTGCCGCAAGCATCCCTGTGCTTTTGACCCTGGTGAAGATGGAGAGTCCTCAGCTTGACATTCCCCCTGCCTGCCTTAAGGACGTTGTGATAACTTCCCCTGGAGGCGTTTGCCTTTCTTATCGAGGACGCTGGCCAAACAAGCGTGGCTGGGATATAAGGAGCCAGGTTGGGGCCGGTGGCACACTCGGTGCATCTCTTCGCCTTGGTCGCTGTCACCAGTCACCATGAAGCTGCTCCTGCTCCTCGGCTTGGTGGCCATGGCCCAGTGCCTTGCCCTCAGGTGAGCACCAGGGTTTTGGGATGCCCACGCAACTGCTGTGATCCCCAGCACCCCCAAGCAGGGAACGGGGAGGGGGACACAACCTGCAGCCTATTGCCATGGCCAAGGCTCCCTGAAGCAAGAATGGGCCCCGGGGTCCCACCTGAGGGGCTGTGGGATGAGGCACGGGGCGAGCGCAGCGCAGGGGTACCCACAGCCCCCCCCCCCCCCCCCC